ACAGCATCGATGTTGTAATGTCATTAAAATACATTCAGTTAAATAAACTGTAGCATTTATTTGGTTGCTCAAGCGTAAAACGAGACAAAAAGCTGTTTACTCACACGCGCCCGTCAGAATCGGCAGGCTAATGCAGAAGCTCTATTGAATATACTGGGGTAAAACAAATGCTCATATTATAAAGATATGGTGGGGGAAATGTAATTTAATACAGCGCTTCTAGTACAATCTGAGTCCCACTTTAAATCGGATATCACTCAGCTAGTGGAGATCGCTCATTTTTAAAGAAAACAGACCTTAAACGCACCGGATTTTGCATTGGCACTCAATTCGCCGGAAGCGCTTAACCCAGGTTACTGGCAAATTAAAAGTACTATTAGCATGCTTACTTAAATTAAGAAATCACTAAGCGACCCCTTGTCATTGTTCCGCGATCCTCCCCAAGGGGGCCCGACCCCAACTTTGAGAACCACTGCTGTATATCAACGAACAAAAAAAACGAGATTTGAGGTTAAAATCTACACCAAAATGTATATTTTAGTTATTTTAGTCGTCATTGCTCATTTAATTAATTTTCAATTATTATTTTAATAAAATATTATTTATTATTAATAAATTATTTCTTTATGAAGCACAAGTAAGCACAACAATAGTCGAGCACTGCGTTGTACAACACAACAGAATGCAAAATCATAATAATTGCATAATTAAATACAAACATTTCATGTTTTGACCACGCTTTGATCCACTTTGCTGCAGTTCAATTAAAAAGTCCTGCGGTGTGACATTAATTTTTAAAGGCCTGAATATTCCATAGCATCACTTAATGAATACAAACTCATCAAATATGAATGTACAAAGAAACGAAACAAAACTAAGACAAACATGTTTTGATATATTCCACTTGTAGTCAAATATCCACTAAGTGCAGTTTCCAAATGATTTCAGACGTCTGAAGACAGCAGTGAGGCATCACATGTGAGTGTGTTTTGAAAGCGAGAGAGGGAGGATATCATTATGAGTGTGCGCATGTGTTTGTGCGTGTGCTCTCTCTCTCTCTTACTGTCATGTGTGTGGCGGTACGGGGAAGTGAAGCCACTCTTCAGGCAGCTGTGTTATTAGTGCTGAGCTGTGGGCGCTGATGGCTGACTTCACTGCTTAATTTGTAGTGTTTCTCACTCCTGTCGCCTCTCATTTTCAGTACCCACTTCAAAACTTCGCTGCTGGGGAGTTTGAAGGTAAGCAACGACAAAAAACAAAACAAAACAAAAAAAACGATTGTCAAGTCAAGTTATAGATGTATTGAACTAGCTGACAGAGCGAAATGCTCATGTTCAAAGAGATTAATGTGGATTCTAGTAACGTAATCATGTCTGCATGCTGCAATCAGCAGAGTCATGATGCTGTTATCTTGGCTATTGATGTTCTAAAGTACTGTTGAATGGAGTGAAGCCGTTTCAGCTTAATGCCTGTTGACGTGTTTGTGTGTCGTTTGTGATTAGGAGATGGTGTGATGAGCCGCCGAAGGGTCTCGGTGAAAGACCTGGGCCAGGGCGACTGTCAGGGCTGGTTGTACAAAAGAAAGGAAAGCAAAGGACTCTTGGGCTGGAAGTGGAAGAAGTTTTGGTTTGTGCTGAAGAAATGCTCGCTCTATTGGTACACGTCGGACATGGTGAGTTTTGTGGTTTTCCTCTGGTAATGTGCGCCGTTGCTTCATGCTGAGAGACTACACTGTCTAAAGCGATTGCCTTACCTTAAGCGAATAAACTAGTTGCTTTAAAGAGCACATAGTTTACCCCTTTTTTATGACCCTGCTAAAAAATCCAGCTTGAACCAGCCTAGGCTGGTTTAAGCTGGATTTTTCAGCAGGGGATTTACTATTAATATTACGGTTCTTCTGAGTGTGCCAGTTTAGGTTCAGTTCAACACACAGTTCAGATGTTTTTATTATAATGTGTTAAAAAGTGTCATGTTGGGGGCGTTTACACAGTTTGCTATTGTAGGGGCATGTTGCTTCACAGTTTCGGCTTCCCGCTCAACGTAACAAGGGGGCGGAGTCAAAAGCTCCCACGCTGTGTGTTTGCAACAGACAGGCTGACAGACAGAGAGAAGCTAAGCTAAGCTAGGATCAGCATTCAGCCGTACATGTACGACTCGGACATAGAGCAAGCAGAGAGTGCAAAATCATTTGTGTCTTTGTATAGTCTCGGTGTACAAGTGCCGAGCTTGTACACCGAGACTGAAAACCACACATACTGAATTAACTTTGAATCAGGCATCGAATGCGTCGCGACACGGCACACCAGGCACTTTCAGTGGCGCGGCAGAAACATGAAGTGTCCCGAATCATCGCGCCACGCATTCCAGAACTCCAAACACAAGCCTCCACCAGGGCAAACACAACGGTGCCACAGCCGCCGAGCCGCTAACCCGAAGCTCCGCCGCGTGCACCCCTACAGAAACCCACATCCAGAACTCCGAAATGCACTGCACTGCGCCACGCAAAAGGTACAAGCAATAATTCCGATTAGAGCGATAATGTGGAGAGTATTGATCTTGTGTTGAGCCCAATGAGCCTTTCATCTAAAAATAGAGCACGGGTGTTCCTTTAGGGATATCGATTTGACTCACACGCTGAAAATGGCGGACGTGCAACAAGAAACCAAGGATATGATTGTGACGCGAGGCTGTCAATCAATATTGGTGGGCGGAGCGACCACTTTCCTACGTATATTTGCGGTCGTTGTGTAAACCGCTCTAATTGGTCCACCGTTTTTTTGTTGTTAAATTGAAAAAAGGACTGTGTGTGTTTATATCACCCCAATATGACGGTCTATACGCTAAACTTACACACACATGTCTGTCCAAACAGCTTGAAAAGTAGACTTTTCACCATAGGTGCCCTTTAAAATGTAAAGTTCAGTTCATCTTTATTTCTATAACGCTTATATAATATGGATTGTGTCAAAGCAGCAAAACATAGAAGTTCTAGTGAATTGAAAGAGTTAGTTTCAAAGTCGGTTCACACTGGCACTTCACATAACATTTCTGAATGGCTCTCCGTCCACACTATACCACTGAAAACGCACATCATGTGACCACACACCAACACAAACACACACTCTGTCATGTGCTGCAGTGTCTGTGCGCGTCTGAGCTCCAGCAGTAAGCGGGTGCTTTGAGCACAAAACCCCAGTGAGCAGTGCACATCAAACAGTTTATCAAGGATGTACCGCTGGATGGCGTCTCACTATTGTTGTTAAACGGTATATTTAATTAATCTTGTCTCTATCTAACGACTCTTCGGTCTTTTGAATCTATCAGGTAACGTGTCACAGTAGAGCTGCACGATTCTGGCTAAAATGAGAATCATGATTTTTTTTTTTTTGCCTAAAATAAAGATCACGATTTTCTCACGATTCTGTAGATGTAAAATAAAGGTTAATATGAGTGGCCTATTATTATTGTTATTCTCAAACATGTGGTAAAACAGCAATATGCTTTGTGTAGTTGTACTGTTGGTTAAAATGCTAAATTTTGTATAGACTTAGAGTGGTGGACCTGAACAGACTTTAGATTTGTCCTGGTCATTAATGCTGATGATAATTCTGATGTTGAATTATTGTGTTTGAGATTTATGATTATAATTTGTAATTTTCTGCTTAAAATATGTCACTGACGTTATTTTGGTGAATACAGAAGACTGAGTGGGTATTTTTGAATTTCGGCGGGTTTTGGATACTTTTGAGGCTGGAATCAGTCAGCTACATCTGGGAACACTGTGTGCGCTTTCGGTTTCATTTTCACTGCTAAGAGCGGTTCACTTCCCGCGAGGCTCCCAAACGATCACTCTGTGCCACAAACTGAATGTTACTTACAACATTATTAACGTTAACACTTTCGCTTCTTTCCTGAATATTAAAATATGATTGACAGAATCGTAGAAATGCTGGATTAAGATCGTCTAGGATGTCGAATCGGATCGCGACATTTTTACGATTAATTGTGCAGCTCTATGTCACAGCATCCGTACACTGCTTAAATCTTTCGATTTCACACTTGCACTTCAGATACTGCTGGTTGTTTTCTTATAGTTGTGAGACTTTTTTACCAACCAAGTTCGTCGACGACATTATAACGACACAGATCACTCTGCCTATTCATACCAGAGTCCTGCGGAAAAAGTGATTGACAGGTGGCAATTTGTGTGTAACTTATCTTTATTTATTTATGATTTGGTTATGGGTAAAGCAAAGACCATCTGGGTCGGGTAGTTGAAACGGTAGGCTACAAACAATTAATTTATGAATTTATTTATTATTTATAAATAATTAATTCACTGCCGCTTATGATAACGATGATGCCATCATCCATCGCCATTATTCACATTGGACATCGTACGATGCCAAATTGGTCAACAGCACCCAACCTTACCTTTTATTAACCATAACATTACCCGCTGAAGGCATATGGTTCAGTAACTTTCCGGATGAGTGGGGACCATTGCTGTGTATGGAGGATGAGGGAGCTCTCTAGTTTCATCTAAAATGTCTTCACTTATCTTCTGAACACAAACCAAGGTCTCAGGGGTTTGGAGTGACATCAGAGTGAGTAATTAATAACATAATTTTCCTTTATTTGGGTGAACTAACCCTTTAACTTTGCCCAGAGGCTTACCTGCTTGTGTAGAGTTAAGCAGGTCATACAACTAGCATGTGACAACAAGACAGTCCTTGAAGGTAATTTTCTTCCTCCTTGGCATGGTATCACAAAGCATCGTTCGCTTTCAGAATGTAAACATGAGCCCGAAGTAGTGAATACAGGTAAATGGTGGAGGAGCGGTGGTTGCTTTGTTGCATGTTGTTTTTTATTCAAGTGAAAATCGATGAAAAGAAGTGTGACACGTGCTATTTTTGGCTTGTTAAAACCACTCTCACTGCCGATTTCTGGGTCAGCTGCAGAAGCTCAATGGTGTTGGTTGGGAGGTCAGGCAAGAGAGCATTGCAATACATTGTTAAAAAAATGCAGGGTTTCACACAATTGCTTCATGCTGTCCCTACAAAAAATAATTAAGTTAATTGTTTTTGACAAATTCAAGTGGATTGAACAAAAAACAATTAAGTTGTCCCAAAAAAATCTCAAGAATTATTTAGTTTCAGCTCAGTTTAAATAAGTATTTTAAAAAAACAATACACCCTTTATTTTGGGAGTAGTCCAGTCTAGAAGGATCAAGAGTTTAGCTGATATTCCTGATGTCGCACATGAGTGAATCTGCAGGATCGGGCGATACTTTAGGTAGTAATGTGGTCTGTCAGGTTTTGCTGGATTCGGCTTATGAAAGTGCTGTAAACTGCATCATCACATAATCTATCATACAATATTGGTTTTGTAAAGCCCACTCACCTGCATGAAGCTCACTTAGTATCGCACAATGTTTTTCCACAGATATGGAGTGTTGATAAGAATACAGAGAGTGGTGGAAAGAGTACTGAAAAATTATACTCAAGTAAACTTACCATTACTTTCCCAAAAATGTAGTGCAAGTTGAGTCAAAGTATCTTTTGTAAAAATTACTCAAAGTAAGAGTTTTGAGCCCTTTCAAAAGTACTTAAGAGTAGTAAGTAGTGGGTATTACGCTGTAAAAAGCTGATGCGTTTACATGTAATTTGTGCATGTGTGTGTAAACGTAACATCCTATAGTGCATCTAGTTATCATCATAAGACATCATTAGGTTAGATTTAGGTTGTGATGTCAAGTGACCAAAATTTTGTCTAGTCAGCATCTAAAGACAACGTAACTTTGATGTCCAATAATGAGGTTGATATGTGCTTGATTTTTGGTTGTTAGAAAAAGTGACCAAAATCCAACGTCGAGCCAACATCTTAAACCAATGTCATATTGACGTCAAATACTGACATTTATTAATCAGGCATGGCAACCAAAATCCAACATCATAGTGGTAACGTCCTCAAAAAATCAAGCTTTAACATCATTAGACGTTGATATTTGATTAATTTTAGGTTGGATGTTGAATATTGACTAGGCCTGACATTGTGAAGTGAAGTAAAAGTACCTGTACTAGAAGGCGGGGCTTCATTCAATGTATTGACCATTACACTTTTTCCCATTCAAAACTATACGAGTGACTCGTCTTGTGTTTTTTTTTTGTCTTTGTACATTCCATTTTTATAAATTACCATTTACAAAGCAAAAAGAATTGCTGATGCTGCTACAAAAGTTGGAGAAAGGAAAATATCTGCCATTAATGGCCATGAGAGCAAATACTGGCATCACCAGTATAACTTTCTGTAAACATGATTTATGAAAAGTCTGGTTTTGAGTTTATACTTGACTGGTTAGCCACTGAAACCAACTTTGTGCAATAGAGGTAAATACTCATTGTTATCTTGCAGGCGGAGAAAGCCGAGGGCTACATCAACCTGAGAGACTTCACTATAGAACAGGCTACCGAATGCAAGAAGAAATTGTAAGTTTGTCTTCATTATTTATAAAGATTGTTGGATACTTGGTGGGTAAAAAAAGTCACTGATGTAGATGGCAGGTTATGCTTAGCGGGAAATGGCAAAAATGCTAATTGATTTCATGTCAAATCCTTGATATCTATTTGACATCCCCATATTGATGCCCCTTTGACCACCATGTGAAAATGTTAAATCTAATGTTTTTTTAATGTATTTTTAAAAATAATATTTATATATTTCTACTTTATTCTGTATATTCTCTTATTAAAAATAGATTAGTGAAGTTTATTTATGAACTAATTTCTAGAGGCTCACGATTTACGAACTTACGAACTTATGATTGCTTGCAGCTGGTCCTGCATTCAATTTATGATTTACCAATGTGTCGAGGCAGTGGCGCAGTAGGTAGTGCTGTCGCCTCACAGCAAGAAGGTCGCTTGGTCGCTGGTTCAAATCTTGGCTCAGTTGGCGTTTCTGTGTGGAGTTCGCGTGAGTTTCCTCTGGGTGCTCCGGTTTCCCCCACAGTCCGAAGACATGCGGTACAGGTGAATTGGATAGGCTAAATTGTCCGTAGTGTATGGGTGTGTGTGTTAATGTGTGTGTGGATGTTTCCCAGAGATGAGTTGCGGTTGGAAGGGCATCCGCTGCGTAAAACATATGCTGGATAAGTTGCTGGATAATTCCGCTGTGGCGACCACGGATTAATAAAGGGACTAAGCCGACAAGAAAATGAATGAATGAATGAATGATTCACCAATCAGACAACTCCTAAGCCACTAAATACCCTAAGTTCCAAATAACAGCCATCTTTGTTTTGAAGAATCCCCCTTTCACCCCTACTCCTCCTCCTTTCTTACTGTAGATAGATGCCACTCAAATATACGCTGCTCAAGTGTAGATCTTCTTGTGCGCTCTCAAATAAATGCTGCTGAAGTGTGATTTTGTGAGTTTATGTAACAAGCAAGGGTGTAACGATACGCGTATTTGTATTAAACTGTTCGGCACGAGACTTTCGGTTCGGTACGCATTACAAACCAAACGATTCAATTCAGACTAACATCTAAAAAGATAAAAGGGAATAAGTACAAAATATAATGTTTTTAGTGCAGCAACGCTCAACATGGCATCCCAAATGACGTGGCAGACAACATGCTGTTTAACATGTCATGTTAAACAGTAGACCATCGCTTATGAACTCAAAATATTAATTTATTTAAGCACGCGCTCATTGGCAATCTTCCCCCATTGCCCCAGCAACCCTGGACCCCCGACACAAAAGAGCCAACCTCCAAACACTGCTCCAGTCAGGCACGCCACGCGCTACACTAGCTCACAAAATGGCGAGTAACGTTAATGTAATCCCAGACATCACATGAGACGTAGTAAATCACGTGAGACTCCTGGATGCCCGCAAACGAATGATGATCTTCCGGAAATTGCGCATCCCCCCGGTCCTTAAATACGTTGCGTACCCCTCTCCAACGAAACCGTCCCAGCAGATTTGAAAGACCCCGGCACTTTCTCATACTTTTGCCTCAGCCTCACTTCACCGCTGCTCGCCATGTTAAAGCCAAAAGTGTGGAATGATGGTCAAGCGCCCCCAACCTTTAGAGCATAGTGATTGGATATTTACTCGTAGGGAGGAGTTTCCTCATCTCAGCTCATATACTTACAGGCACATACAGTCAATTCGGGGAGATAGCAAACACACATAAATTATTTAAACGCAAAACCGAGAAAACTCACAACTCACAAGCGCGTATTGAACTGTGGAGGTCGTACCGTACGGTTCAATATTATATTGAGAACTGTGGCATCCCTGGTAATCGGTGATCGGTATCGGCCGATATGGCTTTAAGTAATTGGTCATCTGCCCTAAAAATCCTGATCGGAGCACCTTTAGTGTGGCCACAACTATATTTATTGTTATATTTATAGTTAGCGCTCTTAAGGCTGATTTATACTTCTGCGTTAAACGCCGGCGTATGCTATGGCGCTGACGTGCACCTCTAAAAAAATGTAACTGCACGTCGCAACGACGCGTAGCACAAGCTCTGTGATTGGTCAGCTTGGTAGCGCTGACGAGTCTGGGCGGGACCGAGAGCCGTGTGAATGGTGCGAGCCTGATGGAGCGATTGTTCACAAGTGTGGAGTCCCGTGAAGGAGCTCCGGATGGAAAGTTTTGTTCTGTGTTTACCTCATAGTTAAAGTTGTTGCACGTCCGCTGGTTCCTGCCTCAAACTGAGCGAGTTTGAGACACTTGTACATCCAGGAAGTGTTCAGGAAAAGCAAAACAGCAGCGAAGAAACTCGACACAGAGGAACATTTACACCTCACTGCCAACTAGCGTTTCAGAAGTGTTAATGCAGACCGACAGAGACAGCGCGCAGAAGAATAAATGCACAGCTACATGCATTGCATGCGCCGTGGGTTACGCCGGTCGCTTAATGCAGAAGTATAAACCAGGCTTTAGTGTGAAGAGCTGCAGAACTCACATTTAGTACACAGAAGAAATCCAGCGTCTGCGATATGAATCACTTACGTTAGAGAATGTTAAAAGGCTGTCATTTGACTAATGCTTTTTGAACATGGTGTGAAGTGTCAAGATGCTTATCATCATTTTTTTTTCTCTCTCACAGCAAAGGTGTCATCTGTACCCAACTTAACGCGCGCTCATAACACAGGAAACTGTCTGCGCTGAGTGTGTGGTCTCTCAGCCGCTGTGTTTCCCACTTCCTTTATAAAAACATACAGTAACGTTGCTTGACTTTGATCAAAATCGAGTGGATTTAGATAAGACTGGAGACAGACTTTGATGTCATGTGCTTTTTCGCTTTTCTGTACTGCTTCCACAGCGTCACACAACCACAAATCCACGCTGCTGTTTGTTCTAGGAACTGTACGTCTGCATTTGCTTTGAGTTTATTCTTTTTTTCCAGTGCGATGAAAGCGAGCCACCTCCACGTGCTGACACTCTACTTTGCAGCCGAGAGCATGAAAGACATGAACAAGTGAGTGTGGAAACAATGTCTCTTGTGTGTAAGTGTGTCCAAAGATAAACTTGGTGATGATACCACCTCATGAAAACAAAGCTAAATCCTACACTGTAAAAAGTACAGGTTGCCTTTAAATCAAACGAGTCCTTTAAACTTAAATAATGTTAAACTGACATAAAACAACTTATAAAAATAAGAGGTCCCACTTTATTTTAAGTGTCCTTAACTACCATGTAGTTGCATCAAAAAATAAATACAATGTACTTACTGTGTTCATAATGTATTTGAGAACACTTGTGGTGCTTTTGAGTTGGGATAGAGGTTGGGTTATGGACAGGTTTAGTGGTATGGGTAGGTTTAAGGGTGGGTTAAGGTGTAAGAGATGGTCAGCAGTGTATTTACAAATGTAATTACACAAGTCAGTTACAGATGTAATTACATACAGGTATTTAATCAAGCATAAGTACACAATAAATACATGTATTTACATAATAAGTACATTGTAACAAACTATTAATTCCTGTGTAAGTACATATTAGTTAAAGCTACTTAATATAAAGTGGAACCAAATAAGTTAGAACATGAGTAACTCCGTTTAATAAGGTATAATTAACTCAAACCCTATGTTGTCATGACTAATTGACCATATATTTTTTACAGCGTACATTATTTTAGATTGTGGCTTTGAGGCCGTTGACCAAATCTCAGATGTTTACCAAATTTGATAAAGATACCTACATTTTATGAATGTTTTATAACATTTGAGTCATATTTAGGCCCACCCGGATTTCCGCAGATTTTTAGCCCATCATTAATTCTGTTTATGTACTTGAGTAAATGTGTGTAAATCTATATTTATTCAGTTTTTAAATTAATGTCAGTGCTATTAATGACTAATATGAATATATTCATCTGATTTATGTACAATAGAGTGTGTAAAGTAGTATTTTCTGTCTTTTAGTAGAGATATTATATGAGAGACTTGCTTTTACCAAATAAAGTGAATCTGATTGGATTTGCATTTTAAGCAAAAAATAAAAGTTATTATTTTGTTATTTCACATATTAAGGTTTTAGTTATGCAAAATTATTCCGCAAAAATCAGCATTTTTTTTTACAAAATTTTTCGCAGAAATAGCAAAAAACCTCAGCAGATTCTGCCTGGCCCTAGTCATTTTTCATTGAAAGTAATCGTATATACTTTTGGCTTTTTCCAAGATGTTTGTTTCTGTTGTGAAACAAAAGTGAAGATATCTGATAGATTGTTCACTTCTCTTTTGTTAACCATTAAAGTCAATGGAGACCAATATTTTTGAGCTCTAAAAGTGCCAAGTGAGCTGTTTGAATACTTGCTGGGTAAGGAAGAATTGATGAAATGACCAATTAAATTCTTTGAAATGTTGTAAACAATGAATGTTTCTCATCCAATCAGAATCCAGCAGCTCTGTTATGTGTAATTCCAGGCTTGCGAGTACAGAAGGGTTTGCATTTGACATTAGTGGACACATTTCTAAGCTTAATAGTTTTAGTAACTCATTTCTAATAACTGATTTATTTTATCTTTGCCATGATGACAGTAAATAATATTTGACTAGATATTCTTTAAGACACTTCTATACAGCTTAAAGAGACATTTAAATGCTTAACTAGATTAATCAGGTTAACTAGGCAAGTAAGGGTAATTAGGCAAGTTATTGTATAATGATGGTTTGTTTGTTTGACTATCAGAAAAATATAGTTTAAGGGGGCTAATAATTTTGTCCCTAAAATTGTGTTTAAAAAATTAAAAACTGCTTTTTTTAGCCGAAATAAAATAAATAAGACTTTCTCCAGAAGAAAAAATGTTATCAGACACACTGTGAGAATTTCCTTGCTCTGTTAAACGTCTTTTGTGAAATATTTAAAAAGAAAAAAAAAATTCAAAGGGGGGCTAATAATTCTGACAATTTAATTACAAATAATACAGATAATAGATGTTTCATGCAAGTGTTTATTGAACTTTGACAGAATAAGCACACAAAAAGATGAAAATTAGATTTATTAGATTTATTTCATCATAACTAAAGCTAAATGGGTGGTCCAGGAAGTAGAAACAGTCAAAATAGGTTTAGTGGGAGTCTTGAAGTCAATATTTTCAGGAAGAAAATGTAAACATAGAAACATTAGTTTTTATACGTGGCTTGATGTAATTTGTGTTGTTATTATTCAAAACCTCCGAAAAAACAAATGTAACTGTACATTCTAAAAACTATTGTTATACAAAACAAAAACAAAAATTGACGCAACAGCTTGCATTAATATATTCGACTTACGACAACATCTAACAAAATGAAGTCCAGACAACAAACTTTTTTATGTTCGCCAAATCTTTTCCTCTTCAATCAGAGGCATTTTACATAGCAAAAAACTAAATTTTTTAAGTTGAGTGCTCAAAAAAATAAGTTGTTTCAAATTTTTTTTTTATTAAAATTGAAAACAAATCCTGTGTTATGTACTTATTTACATGCATATTTTCAAGTTTAGAACCTCAAATAAATTAATACATTTTGTTTGTTTTCAAATTTACTGTTCATGCTTGTAAGAAATATATTTAACAACAACATTTTTGTTTTTTGGTAATTTTTTTTTGTATTAAATCACAGGTTTTTATTGTTTTACAAAACAAAAACATGTAATGTCCTATATTATCATTATAAAAAATAATGAAAAACATCAGTGTGTGGACTTAAAAAGACAAAACAAGTCCATTAGTGTGGACAAATTTCTTTGCGTTGCTACAAGTTAAATATTGTTTTAAAGTAACTGACAGATATATTTACCTTTTAAATTAGCCTCATTTTTACATTTATGTAATTATCAATATTTTCATGTGTTGAAAACTTAATTATTCTGGCAGCTTAAACGTTTTAATCTAATCAGCATTTTGGAGTTTTTAAGTTACAATAATGTATTAAACTATGTAGTGGTTACAGAGCTCTTGAGTTATTTTTTAGAGTGTATATATAACATGCCTGTGGTGTGAGCAATCTGGTTGGATGTCCTCTTTGTTGTTGTTGTTGATTGGGTTGTTAAAATAGCTGACCTAAATAAATATAGTGCACAGATACTCATTTTTAAAGATCATTAATCTATCTTCACCCTAAACTGAGTGATTCTTAGATACAGTTGAAGTCAGAATTATTCGCCCCCTTTTTATTTAATTTTTTAAAATATTTCCCAAATGATGTTTAACAGAGCAAGGAAATTTTCACAGTATGTCTGATAATGTTTTTTCTTCTTTAGAAAGTCTTGTTTGTTTTATTTCAGCTAGAATAAAAGCAGGTTTTAATTTTTTAAAAAACATTTTAAGGTCAAAACTATTTACCCCTTTAAGCTATATATTTTTTCGATAGTCTACAGAATAAACCATCATTATACAGTAACTTGCCTAATTACCCTAACCTGCCTAGTTAACCTAATCAACCAAGTCAAGCCTTTAAATTTATAAGCTGTATAGAAGTATGTTGAAAAACATGTAGTCAAATATTATTTACTGTCATCATGGCAAAGATAAAATTAATCAGCTATTAGAAATGAGTTATTAAAACTATTATGATTAAAGATGTGTTGAAGAAATCTGCTCTCCGTTAAACAGAAATTGGGGAAAAAAATAAACGGGGGCGAAAAATTCTGACTTCAACTGTAAATATCTCCTTTTGGGTTTGCAAGTTAGTCACAAGTGTGAGGAAAACATGACAGAAATATCTTTCTTTGTAAACCATTGCATTTGAATAGATAAAGCGGTGAGTGGGGGAAAACTCTGAGAGAAATCTGTGGGTGTTCTGCTATTAAACTGTGTGGGCCAAAGACACACATAATGACACAACACACAATCATTTAACAGATCAGAGGAGGTTTACCGTAATTAATGCTTTATTTATGTTTTTGTTGTAATCTAGATGGCTGGCTAAACTCACCCAGGCTTCAAATGAACCCGAGCCCACAGACTCGACCAACGGAGGTAAAGATTCACACCACACCAAGGTTATTTTAGTAAACCAAGGCCAGAAGTGTTAGTCAAAAAAGTTTTCGTTAACTGAAAGAAATAGATAGACTTTAAAAAAAGAAGAAAATTATACCAACAACTGTTTTTGAAAAAGTAACTTAAATAAGTAGTTAGCAAATAAATAAATAAATAGTTTTTCAGAATTTATAAGCTGACCTGTGGCTATTCTAGTACTTGTAGATGGCGCCAAACACATCAGTAAAGCACCTGATAATATACAAAAACATTTTTTTATCTCATTTTTCCAGCAAATGCAAACTTGGCATGTTTAACTATGAAATGTAATGTGTTTATTTATATAGCGCATACACAGTTGAAACTAGAAGTTTACATACACTAAAAAAGGAACATAGCTATTTTTTTAAATGTCTGATGGTAAATCATACTAAACATTTACTATTTTGGCCCATTCCTCCTGACACAATTAGTGTAACTGAGTCAGATTTGTAGGCTGTCTTGCTCGCACAAGCTTTTTCAACTCCACCCACACATTTTCTATAGGATTGAGATCAGGGCTTTGTGATGGCCTCTCCAAAACATTCACTTTGTTGTCCTTAAAGCACATTTGAACTAATTTGGCAGTATGCTTAGGGTCATGGTCTGTTTGGAAGACCCTATTGTGGCCAAGTTTTAATTTCCTGGCTGATGTCTTGAGATGTTGCTTCAGTATTTCTACATAATGTTCTTTCTTCATGATGCCATCTATGCTGTAAAGTAAACTAAAACAGCCCCACAACATGATGCTGCCGCCCTCATACTTCACAGTTGGGATGGTGTTCCTAGGCTTGTAAGCTTTCCCCTTTGTCCTCCAAATGTAACACTGGTCATTATGGCCAAACAGTTCAATCTTAGTTCCATCAGACCACAGGACATGTCTCCAAACATGGTAATTTAGCTTATTGTAATCTGGCTTTGTTGTTGATTCTGGCCTTATTGATTTTCCCATGTTGTCACACAAGGAAGCAGTGTGTTTGTGGTTTTCCCTAAATACTATTCTACAGTTGTGCCTCCAATGAGCTCAAATGTTGTCAATTAGCCCATCAGAAACTTCTAAAACCTTGACACCATCATCTGAGCTTATTCAGAGGCAGAATAATCTTACTGTCTGCAAACTTTTGACTTTCAAGAAAAGTTATAACAATTTCTCAAAAAATATCTCTCATTATTCTGCTATTAAGCAGAACAGAAACACATTTGATAATCCTAACTTACCTAAAAGAGAAAGTTTAGTCACATTAACATCTGATTTTTTAAATGGTTATGTGCCTTTTTATACAGTGTATGTAAACTTCTGGTTTCAACTGTATTGTGTATGGTCATGCACCCAAAGCGCTTCACAATCATGAGGGGGGTCTCTCCACACCACCACCAGTGTGCAGCATACACTTGGATGATGCAACGGCAGCCACAGGACAACAGCGCCAGTGCGCTAATCACACACTAGCTATAGGTGGAGTGGGGAGACAGTAGCCCCTTTCACACAGTGATATCGGTAAATATCCTGAAAATATCTGGAACGACTTCACTGGTAAATTAAAAAAAAACTAAAAAAGCTCTGTTCACACAGGCGAGGACGTTTCAGAATTTTTCCGAAAAAGACTATTCACACATCCATTCCAAAGTAGCGGTAAACTCTGACATCATTAACCAGAAATGACCTATAAACGGCAGCACTTGTATTTGCAAACTTAGAAGGTGTCGTGGGCTTTTCTTGATGGTTTCACTTTTATTTAAAGCTTTAGCCTTCATGCAGCTGCTTTTGTCCCAGAGACATCCAAAGGCAGAAACGCAAACCGCAGCTAAATGTTTACACACTTGACTACATACAAATTATGTGGAGGGATGCGTCAAGCAACTGAAGGTAAACAAACGGCGATTTATCATAAGCATTTTATCAATAGTCTTTGACACAGTTGGCATTAAGAAGGAACATAGAAACATTATCTGACTAACATCTAGCAGCTAAGTGTGCGTGGAAAAATATTGAAAGGCTTTTATCTTCATAATCGGCGCGGATGTGAATGCGTCTGACTGTTCTTATAGACTGGAGTAGACGTCTCACGTCAGCTTGTTCTAATTGTTAACGTGCTCTTTCCGACAATCTTGTGAGTGCAAATGTCTTGTTGATGCCTGAGGTCAGAGGAGAATGGCCAGACTGATTTAGGCTGATAAAAAGGCAACAGTAACTCAAATAACCACTTGGTACAACCGAGGTATGCAGAAGAGCATCTCTGACCTCAATGTGTCCAACCTTGAGGCGGATGGGCTACAGCAGCAGAAGACCACACCGGGTGCCACTCCTGTGAGCTAAGAACACGAAACTGAGGCTACAATTTGCACAGGCTCACCAAAACTGGTCAATAGAAGATTGGAGAAACGTTGCCTGATTTGATAAATCTCGATTTCTTCTGCGAAATTTGGTTGATAAGGTCAGAATTTGGCATCAACAACATGAAAGCATGGATCTATCCTGCCTTGTATCAACAGTTCAGGCTGGTGGTGTTGGTGTAATAGTGTTGGGGATATTTTCTTGGCACACTTTGGGCCCATTAGTACCAACTGAGCATCGTATCAACGCCACAGCCTACCTGAGTATTGTTGCTGACCATGTCCATCCCTTTTTGACCATGTCAAAAAGTGCAAATCATCTCAGACTGCTTTTTTGAACATGACAATGAGCTCACTGTACTCAAATGGCCTCCACAATCACCAGATCTCAATCCAATAGAGCATCTTTGGAATGTGGTGGAACAGGAGATTGGCATCATGGATGTGCAGCTGACAAATCTGGAGCAACTGTGTGATGCTATCATGTCAATATGGAACTTCTGAGGAACTTTCCGGTACCTTGTTGAATCTATGCCACGAAGGATTAAAGGGCCATGAAACCCCCTCGTTTCAGCAGGGTGTTTTCACACCTCTACTTTGGAAAAAGTCAGAAAAGTGGGCGTGTCCAGCTCTGTTTAGGGCGGAGTGTCGGAGGAACTAAAGTGGGATGGTGTGGGAGTGTCTATTTGGGCACGCGCGAGTTTCAGTCAAAATATACACACATGAGAAAGTGATGGTGTTTAACCTACATGGACATCTGTAGTCGAATTATTTGCCAAATTATTAAATGGTGGACTTTAACTGCAGTTTGGCTCTTTCATTCAGGGAATTCATTCATGCCCCTCGCGACAAACGTGATATTTGATTCGAGGATCTGCTTTAAGCGTGTATTTTTCATGCAATGTTTGATACCGCACGGCGAATGAGAGAAAAAAAAAACTCCGCATTTCCCGGAAACTTAGATGCACACGGCAGGTAGCGTCAGAAAGCCGCGTGTGTGTAAAATGCGGTGCTATGTTTGCACTCAGTGCAATAGTTAACCTAATTCGATACGAACAAACTGAATAAACAAAGAGCACTGGTCGCTCACTTACCAAATCTGTAGAGACAGGACAATCACCAGCAACTAGAGCCGCGTCTTTATGAAGAGAAGACTAACATAACAAGCGAATCCGGATCTCAGCGTTTGCAGATGAGAACAGCTCTCAGGTAAACAATAATCCTCCTTGGACACGTAAGTAATTGTTGTCGAGCGTCGCGTACACTGTTAATCCACACGTGATCCAGATGAGCTCTCACAGAGAGAAAATGAAAACGAAACTTAATGGCAGCAAACTATAAAAGCAACACTTCACGCTTGTTTTGCCAACACAACGTGGCGTCTCTGTGGCTTAAACGCGGCGACACTAATGAATATTAATGAAGTTGCACAATAGAGCGCGCTGATTGGTTTGAACCAAGCCTTACTCATGCATTAATGCATCACACTGTAAGACGTAATAAGACTCACTCTGGCACAGACGTCCAGTCTGCACGCTGGAATACACGCTATTATGTCATGACCGTGACGCAGCTTCAAAAATTAGTTTCAAACAGGAAGTGTTTGAAATAAAGCAAAAACAACCAATTTATACTTTTTAGTGAAATATAGGTGTCCTAATAGTGTTTTTAGCAGTGTGGGACACATATACGACTGTCAACAGCTCAAAAAAAATGTGTTTTCGTGACCCTTTAAGGCAAAAGGAGGTCCAACCCAGTAGTAGTAAGATGTAGTAAGTGGCTGATGAGTGTATGCGGCATTGAATAGTGTTCCATTTTAGGTTTGATTTCAGTAGTTATATATAAATAAATATGAAAACAAAATAGTAATGTGTTACAAAACCATTAGTAAAATGATCTAAAACTAATCTGATAAAAACAGGAAATTTAGAAACAGTCTCAAAATAAAAACGAACTTAAAAATACAAACCTTGAACTGCACTCACATAAAGCCATAGATGACTTCTATTTGAGTAAACTTCACGTCTTTCAGCAGAGCAGAAGCTGACGCTTTAATATCTGCATTTCTGTGATTGTGTGTACCCAGAGTGCTACAGCGAAGAGAGTGACGATGAGGACGATGAAGAGATGTGTGTGGAGTATATGGATCAGCTGACCCCCGGCTCTCTGCATGTGAGTAACCAGATACACTGAGCGCTAACCGGCGTTGTGGCTTCTGTGCTATTAATGGCTGGCGGTTGAGACGACATAGAAACAGTGACACGAGCAAGTGATAAAAATCTGATGCATCATTGCATGCTGCTCAGTTCAGCAGTTTGGGGTTAGCAAGATAAGTAGGCTAGTTGGTTAAGTAGGATCATAGATATATACTCTAGATATCGCATAGGGACCCTGAGCATGCGTCAATAGCGCCGCCACATTGGTACAGTGCTCCCAGGACAAATGTCATTCAACCGCACTAGTCGAAGACCGTGTTATTACGTGAGTATGCTGGACTTTAGCGCTGTCTACGGGTGTAGTAACGAGCAAACAAAGAAAACAAAGTACAAAGGCAGAACATTTCATAGGTAATATTAAGTTTTTTTCTGTTTTTGTATGTTCTGAACTTTTGTGCTAATCAGGTCACGTTATTGATGATAATACAGTCACTTACTGCATTCACCATAAGGCAAAGTAGCACCATCTCGCACTAAAAACTCGGCTTATGCTAGTTTTGTTGAATAAAATCAGCAAACAATGCAAAAGAAATATGACAACGAGATGCTGCGGTGCCAGAAACTTGTATTATTGTCGGCTAACGTTAGTGAAAGAGAAGTTCAGGGGATTCATTCACAAACGAATCGCTCCCTCCGTCAGTATGAGAAGTGAAAGCAGGAGAGGAGGTGTGTTTCAGGACATGATCAAATTTAACAGGGAGGGTGAATATTACATTTCTGTACACACAAACACAAGCTTTTGGTCAGGAATGCCAGTGCGGTCACTGATCCATCAATGTAGAAAAGTGATGTAAAATTATAATTTTCGTAATTAGAAAAAAAATACATACTAACATCCAGGAAAACTCCCGATCATAGATATGTGTGTATATGTGTATTTATATCTCGGCCTTTGGATGGCCACAGTCCTCCACTGTACCTTGGTCTTGCATTCATTTCAAAGGAGCGCTACCCTGTACCAAGATGGCGGCGCTATTGACGCATTCCGTCCAATAGACAACAATAGGCCAGGCAACATCTAATGTATATATCTATGAAGTAGGTTAATAGGGTATGTTGTTTCTTTAATTATTTTAGACGTTAACTACTGTTCAAAC